AGAGGTAGTAATTGTGGCTGCTGGGAGAGACTTCCTTCTGTTAGTCACTCCATCAAGAAAAACATCTGAGTAGCAATTTCACAGATACAGAACCGACATGCAGAGCAGCTCCACAGCAGTCAATAAAAGTGTGCCTGGGGAATAGCGAAAATACTGATGTACTCCAGAAAAATCCATTCACGCCTTAGCAGTTATTCCTATCTCTTTTCCAATAGAACAGCTCCAAACCAGCTGTAATTTGTACCTGAATCCAAATGTATGTCTTCTTTAGTGTGTTTTGGTGAAGCAGGGTCAAACTCAGGGTGGAATTAAGTATATATATATATATATGTGTAATTATTTTATTGATGTATATATATGTGTATTATATTACATTACATTGTGTTACATGTATATTGTCTATATTATATTAGATATTGTCTACTATATACTCTATATTATTAAAGTTATACATCACATATTACACTCTTACGCATGTATGTGTATATACATATATAGTTGTAAATTTTCATCATCCTGCTGGGAGAAATAACATTTTTCTAACTTTTTTATGCAGCCAAAAGCCCTGAAACTGTTGGGAATGGAGGTAGGTGAACTGTCATAAATCTTATTTCTTTTCCTTCTTTGACAAAGATATGTGATATCAAGATAATGTTTACATTCACTGTAATGAAAGCACCAATAGTTGTTTTCAAGTTTCACACGAGAAACGTGCCACACATGGTATTTTTCATCCAGTTAACTTGTCTACACAAGGGCCAGATTAAGAAACATTTCCTAATAAATCTACAGTGGATAGACAAGAGAAAAGAAGGCCCTGGCCCCTCTATGCACCATTTTTCTTTTCATGAAGATTAAATAAAATCTTTCAGTCTCTCAGAAAAAGCAAAATTTCAGTGGGATAACGATATAACTTTAAAACATACTCAGAGAAATGAAGTAGTTGCAGGGAATGATGTGGTAATCTTTACATGGGCCAAATTTCTATCAGTTTTGTTGACACTTTCAGCTACCTCAGTGCTTCAAGTATTTTCTTGTTTATTTTATACAACAACTTTCATTTTGCTGTCCACAGTAATGGGCTAAAATGGGAAAGAAACTAAAAGCAGTAGAAACAACAAAGAGCTGGAGAAAGAAGGGACATACAAAGGCAGAATGGGAGGGAAAAAAAGAGATTCCTGCTCCTATGAGGTGATAAAGGGAGAGAACGCAAGAATAAGCAGGGAGAGAGTCTTCAGCAGACCAAAACATCCCCTGGATATGTACTTTCTGGAGGTAGAACCAGGTGGATGCATTAAAATAGATGTTATATTTGGAGTGAACTCTTAGCCTTATTTTACTAGTGGCTTTTCTGAAGTGATTCTGGATATTATGTGATTGTGCTCCGTGTTCTAAGGGAGAAAAACAGTTCAGAGTGACAGTCCAAAGCTCTTTTTTTCCTGTGTTTAGGTATGGCATTATTGACTTCTTAATTACAGTACATTGACCGATACTTTTTTCATTGTTTTCCTATGCTAAATATTTTGTCCAAAAAAGCTGAAGGGGCTGGTCTGCAGGGAATGTGTTTGACATCTCAGGTACTGACTCCAATGCATTGTATGAATTGATTCAGTTCCTTCACTGGTGGAAAAAAGTTCTCTACAATTTTCACAGGATGATGTCCCTTTGCGGCGAGGGAGGAAAACGACAAAAAAAAGAGAAGAAGAAGTTGATATTGATTTGGATGACCCTGAAATCAATCATTTCCCCTTCCCGTTTCATGAGCTGATGGTGTGGGCTGTGCTGATGAAGCGTCAGAAAATGGCCCTCTTCTTTTGGCAGCATGGGGAAGAGGCTATGGCTAAAGCACTGGTGGCCTGTAAACTCTGCAAAGCCATGGCCCATGAAGCATCAGAAAACGACATGGTGGATGACATATCCCAAGAGCTGAACCATAATTCCAGGTGAATTTTCTTTCATGTACACTTTCCTGGGTAAAAAA